GTTGTTGTTGTTGTTGTTGTTTCTTGAAACAAACTCACTTGTTTGAAAGAATGAGTGTTTGTTTTGATGGTTGATGCAGTTCACACTCCACATCAGAAGGTGGCGGTAAGGCACTTTTTAATGATTTGCCAACCGTTAAAAAGAAGAAGAAGAAGAAGAAGAAAAAGCGGAAGAAGACTTGTCGGTACAACCACAACACCAGAGTAAAAACAAGTGGATTAAAGTGTCCTGAAGGAACAGATAAAGCAGGTTTGTTCTCACTTGTTTACACTGATCTGCTGTTATCTTGTATTTAGTTTGTTATTAACGTGTTTTCTTGTATTTAGTCTGCTTCTGATGGTCCATGACTGTGGTCCAGCCCTAACTCTCCTATATGTGTATTATTTTATATATTAATATATTAATATTACGATATTAATATATTATATTACTATATTATATATTAGTACAGTCGTGTTTAGTTTTACTGTCTTTGTGAGTTCAGTTTGGTGGTTCTAACCTGTTCCTGAGTCATTTAAACTAACTTTGTTGTCACTTTGTTGTGACTCACAAACACAACCTGTTGTGTAATCCTGAGCTCAGCTGTGAATGAGGACTCAGTCAAAAACACTGTTTTACATTAGATCAGGTTAAAAACACTGTTTTATATTAGATCAGGTTAAAAAGACAAAGTTTGATAGTTTTAAAATGTCCCAAACATTTAGACATCCCTGTCCAATAAAGTGTGATACTGATGTAAATAAAACATTAAACCCCTAAACTCACCATATATATATATATATATATATTCCAAATTATGCCCATTTTTAGCTAAAAAAATAAAAACAAAATAATTTAATTCTCTAAAAATACTTTGTCACACTTAAATACTTAATGTGTGGGTTTTCTCTGGGTACTCCAGCTTCCTCCCACAGATTAAAACCATGACTGTCAGGTTAACTGGTAACTGTAAAGAGACTGAATGGTTGTGTGTCTCTGTGTGTCTCTGTGTGTCTCTGTGTGTCTCTGTGTGTCTCTGTGATGGACTGAGACCTGTCCAGGTCTACCCTGCACCGTCACTGCTGGACATGAGCACCAAAGATCCCCCTGACCCTAGAAAAGGAATAAACACATATGGATGGATGATGGATGGATGTATGATGGATGGATGTATGATGAATGGATGGATGATGGATGGATGATGGATGTATGTATGTATGATGAATGGATGGATGATGGATGGATGATGGATGTATGTATGTATGATGAATGGATGGATGATGGATGGATGATGGATGTATGTATGATGAATGGATGGATGATGGATGGATGATGGATGTATGTATGATGAATGGATGGAT